ACAACATATCCAGAAAATAATAAATTATGACCAAGTGGGGTTCACACCAGGAATGTAAGGATGGTTCAACCATCAACATCATCCATCACATAAATAAAACAAAGGAAGAGGAACCATGATCATATCAATCAGTGCAGAAAAAGCATTTGATAAAATCCAACACCCCTTTCTGATAAAAACTCTCTGCAAAATAGGAATAGAAGGGACATTCCTGAACATAGTAAGGGGCATATATGCAAAACCAACAGCCAACATTATTCTCAATGAAGAGAGACTGAAACCATTCCCCTTGCAAACGGGAACCACTCTATCACCACTTCTATTCAACATTATATTAGAAGTCCTAGCCATCGCAATAAAGCAAGAAAGGGAAATCAAAGGCATCCATATTGGTAAGGAAGAAGTCAAACTATCCCTATTTGCTGATGATATGATCCTATACATAAAAAACCCAAGAGACTCAGCAAAAAAACTACTGGAACTAATTGAAAGATTTAGCATAGTGACAGAATACAAGATCAATTTTCCAAAAACCAGTTGTATTCTTCTACACCAGGAAATAAATTACTGAAAAAGTAATATGTTACTTTATGTTAGGGCATAAAGCACACCTTAATAAATTTAAAAATAAGGAAACATAATAAGGAAATCTATACCATTTACAACAGCTACCAACAAAATAAAATATTTGGGAATAAATCTCACCAGAGGCACAAAAGATCTGTACAAAGAACACTACAAAATACTACTTTAAAAAACCATAAGGGGGCTACATAAATGGAAGAACAAGCCATGCACATGAATAGGAAGATTGAACATTGTGAAAATGTCAATTCTACCCAAAGCAATCTATACATTCAATGCAATCCCAATCCAGATCCCATCAACATTCTTTAGGGATCTGGAAAAACCAATCACTAACTTTATATGGAAAGGAAAGAGACCTCAGATAAGCAAAGTATTACTGAGGAAGAAGAACAAAGCAGGAGGGCTCACACTTCCAGATCTTAAAACCTATTATACAGCCACAGTAGTCAAAACTGCCTGGTATTGGTATGGCAGGCACATAGACCAATGGAATAGAATTGGGAACCCAGAAATAGGTCCATCGACTTATGCTCAGCTGATCTTTGACAAAGGGCCAAAATCCAATGGGGAAGATATTGTCTGTTTAACAAATGGTGCTGGCAAAAATGGATATCCATTTGTAGAAAATAAAACAAGATCTATACCTCACACCATACACAAGAATTAACTCCAAATGGATCAGACTTAAATGTGAAACTTAAAACTATAAAGTTCTTCAAGGAAAAATTAGGGGCAAATTTAAGGGCCCTCATTTATGGCATAAATAGACTATCAAGCATAACCCAAAATGCACAAACAGCAGAAGAGAAATTAGATGAGTGGGATCTTCTAATAATTAAATTTTTATGTGTTTCCAAAGACTTCTCCAAAGAGTCAAAACAGAACCTATGGGTTGGTAAAAAATATATGGCAATGACATATCTGACAAGGAACTTATCTCTAAAATTTACATAAAACTCCAACACTTCAACAACAAAAAGACAAACAATTCAATTAAAAAATTGGTTACTTGGAATGGGAGGCGAGGGGAGGTATACTGCTAGATAGGTAGAGACAAGTATTGATTTGGGGGACAAGAAGGGCAATGTAGCAAATGTGAGTGATCACAGTGGCATTGAAGAAGAGGAAGACAGAGAGAGGTACATGGTAGGTACAGACAACAAAGATGAACCCTTTTGCATATACAGTACTGCATTGTTAGTGATGGCAAACACTGATCTACAGATGGATCGATGGATAGACAGGCTGAACAATCAGGTTTGTCTTGGCAGTGGGGAGTGTGCCCATGACCATGCATAGCATTGGCAGATAATGTTTCTACAAGTGTCTTTGTAGGTGCTGAAACAATGTCCAGGTATACAGTATAGCTGACAAGGGACAAGGTTGTGGTGACTTTTTGGCCACAGCCAGCTACCCTGAGGAAGTGAATAGTTAGACCTGTGGGCTCAGGACCACAGTCATAGGGGATTATCAAGCTTATTGGCATAAACATACTGCACAAAAACATTGTTCCACATCCTACTTTGGTGAGTAACGAATGGGATCTTAAAAGCTTGCAAGCAGCCATCTAGATGCAGCGATAGGTCCCTCCTCATCTAGAGCAAAGAAGAATTAAGAAAACCAAAGCACATGGAAACATCAGTCCGAGGGATAGGTAGACCATGCGATCCTCCACCTATGAGACCAGAAGAACTAGATGGTGCCCGGTTACTACTGTCAACCACTAGGAGGGGGATATGTGTAGGAGATCCTGGATAGAAAGGGAGAACAATGGGGAACAAAACTCAAAGTTATAGGGAGAAAAAAAAAAAAAAAGGACCATGTTTACTGGTCTGATAGAGCTCGGTGAAACCCTTGAGATTATGGCCCCTACCAGCCCTTCACTTCTGGAATTGAACTCATTCCTGTGGCTTACCATCAAATAATAGACAGGCACATGGGCTGAACATTTGTATGGTAGATACACTACTTGGAGCAATCAATTGTGGGAGAACAGAAGAGCAGTGTATGCACAGGAAGATAGCTCGGGTGGCCAGATGTATGGGAGGGAAGGACACGGGGAGGAGGTAACCATGGGAAGGATATGGGAAGACAGCTGTTATACTATGGGAAATAACAGTCAATGTCATGAGATAAAATGTGTGTGAACCGCTGTATGGAAAAATGAAATTGCTCTGTAAACCTTCACCCAAATCACAATAAAAATTTAAAAAAGAAAATTAGAGAAAAAGATCAAATAAATATCTTGCAAAAGCAAAACAATATTGTTTGCAGCCCTCATCAGAAAAAACAACAGACTCCAGGGACCAGCACTGACCCTACATGACCAATCTGGTTTTTTGGGTCTTTTTGTAATGAAGAAACTTCATAATAAAATGTTCAGCTTTTATGCCAATGCTAAAAAAAAAAAGTAAAAACCAAACAAAAATAAAATCCATATCCAGTGTCATTTAACGTCACTACCACAACCACCACCACCACCACCATTCACTGGTTGCTGTCTAGTCAGTCTGGACTTGTGACGACCCATGTGCATTGGAGTAAAGCAATACCCCACAGAGTTTTCAATGCCTGATTTTTCAGAAGTAGATCACCAGATCTTTCTCCTGAGACATACCCTTCAGGTAGTAGATGTTTTGGTTACTTAGTGCCACTCTGACAGGAATATACGACAAATAAGATGTCTTGAACAAACAGGAGTTTATTCTCTTACGATTTTGGAGGTTAGAAGTCCAAGTTCAAAGTGCCAGGCTCTAGGAGCTGGATGAAAGCCCCTCGACCTTGGGCTTCAGCTCTGCCTCTAGCTCCCGTCCCACTGAAGCTGGAAGCTTTCTTCACTCAGGCAGCTGCTGGCTACTAAGGCTGACAAACCAAGGTCAACAAGTAAAAAGGCATAGTGCCGATGTTACCAAACTGTATGGCAGGCCACTGATTCAAATCCACTGAAAGACCCATTATCAGTAGAGTATGGCAGGCTACTGAATGAATACTTAACTACATGCAGGGTTCAAGCATACCAAAAAGCAAGAGACCTTCCTTAAAGTTGTTATTATATACTGGAAGCAGACCATATCCCTAAAGCAGCGACTCAGCTATTCCAGTAGACTCCACCATGGAATTGATTGCCAGTCTCACCATGGGAAGAGTGGCTGCCCAGCCACTCAACCAGGCCCAGCCAAGTTAACAACAATTTTAAGTACCACAGTAGACAAGTATATTAAACACTGGCATTACCTAGGGCTCCTTTATCTTCACTAGAAATCTATTATTGGGTATCCATCACTATTGAGAACCAGAGACAAAACCAAACCTTTTTTTAAAGCCAAGTGGGGATGAATGTGGGATGTTAACAGAAACCAACTGCCCTCCCAGAGAGGAGGGCTGCATGCTGACCAACACACGGAAGGGGCCATCAGAGCTTTCCAACAGTGTTGATTTGATTCAGTAGGAAACAAGTCATGCCTCAGCCCTCTCATGAAACCAACTTATCTTAATTTCAGACCAATTCAATAACACAAATACTGAGAACCTAGGGCATGGTCGGGCCTAATGCAAATTAGTTGCCCCTAGTAATTTAGGGACACCTAATTAGCAGCCCTCATGGAGCAATGATTAAGTGTTCAGCTGCTAACCACTAACCAAAACATTGGCAGTTCCAACCCACAAAGCAGCTCTTCAGAAGAAAATAACTTGTGACCTGCTCCCATAAAAACAGCATAGAAAACCCTCTGGAACAGTTATATTCTGTCATACAGGTTCTCTATGAGTTGGAATTGACTTGACAGCACACATCATCATTTAGACAAGGAGATAGTATATATGGTGGGAAGTGGCAAATGAAGAGTGAAGAGGCCTGCTAGAGAGAAGTGAGGAATAGTGAAAGACTGACAGGAAAGAAAACACAGATGTCTAAAAAGCACACACAGGAATCAGCAAGGAAATAAATCATTTTCAAACAGGAGGAACTAAGTGAGGATGAGGCCTTTTTTCCTGCCCAAGAAGCAGGGACCATCTAGCAAGCTACCTTTCCTTCTCAGCCCAGAGAGGAATCCTGCTCAACCCAGAACCATATAGTCACTATCAATTAGAAGTCAATTTAGAAGTCAAATTAGAAGGTGAAATCTGTTTGCTTTCAATAGGTTTAGACATTTTAGTCTCACTTGCATCTACTTGTACCTCAAGAGCCCTGTGTAGCTGCCATTTATATTGTTGGTCATAAATGATCAGCAAGCCTTACATTATTTTAGTACACAGAACATTTTGGAATATTTTAAAGTTTTGGTGTGAACAAGTTAAATTTCACTTAGCTGGAACATGGTAGAAGCCTGAATTTTATGATGACGCTAAATAAAATGAGGCATTATTTTACTTAAAATACACCTACAACTTTAAAAAGGTAATTGTCACCAAACCTTGATCCTCTGGATGCTGACGACTGCCTCCGACACCTTCTCGATGGCCGATGGGAAGAAGAGGGTGACAGTCAACCGCACAGCCCCATACAGCATCACAGCCACAAACACACGGCTGGCTGTAATCACGTTGCCAAGGAGCACATAGGTGGTGAAAGTCACAAAAACAATTATTTTGCTTGCAACAAAAAACGATGCCAAATTCATTCCTCTAAGGTAGGAACTTCTAAGAATCGTGAAAATTTCCTTCCTGGAAAAGACAGTACAATATAGGTTTTTAAGTAAGCATTGGCATCAAAGCCATGAATTCAAGGGCCTATTATATGTGGAGTCTTTCTAGACAATGTATTCAGATTAAAATAAACCATCCCTTCCACCATGGAAATAATCCACAACACACACCCTGATGCTTCCACACAAGGACCAGGCACCACTCAACACCGTTTCATTCAATGAATTAAACAGATATTTAATGTCACAGCTTAATATTTTGGGTTAATCAGACTAGGTATGACCATTTATTCAGCAAGCATTCTCAAACATACATCTTGCACTAGGCACCTCACTGATGATAGAGAGATATGTAAGGAACAGTTGGGCATTCTAGTAGGTCATGAACTTGTGGGAGGAGACAGAAAACAACCCAGAACTGTGAGACATGCAAACAGGAGACAGCAGCAGCTGTACAGGGCTGCATAAAGGCAGAGACTCAGCACAGTGCAGTCAGGGAAGTCACACATGAGTGGGACTCAGAAGGAAGAGCAGGAGTTAGTCAGGCTTGGGAGTGGCTAACAGAGAATGAAGACAAGAGAGCACAAAAAGGTGCACAGGTAAGACGTAGAAAGGTATTAGCAGAGAATTTTTGTTGTTGTTGTCAGTTCCAATTCATAGCAACCATAAGTGCAACAGAATAAAACACTGCCCAGTCCCATCCATCTTCAAAACCATTCTTTTGCAGAGAGTAAGATGTACCGTGTCCTAGAGGGTAAAAATCAAGTATTTAAACAAAAAACTTTAAAAATTATAAAAACATAAACCAAAACAAAAAGGAACCATATTTCCATAGCTCTGGGACTTCTGGTAGCATAGTACCTAAGGCTAACCAGAAGGCTGGCGGTTCAAATCCACCAGCCACTCCTTGGAAGGAAGGTCGGGCAATCTACTTCTGTACTGATACCACCTCGGAAACCCAAGAAGAGGTTACTATGAGTCGGGTCCGATTCAACAGCACATTAAAAAATATATATATATTGAGATGAATTATACTGATTCAAATAAGCTAGCCCAATACAGGAATACTAAAAGCTAATCTTTCCATTTATGCTAAATGAAACACGCTGAAGTGGCTGTTATTTTTGTTGTTAGGTGCCTGTGGGGAAATTTTTGACTCACAGCGATCGATGCCAACGGAAGCAGCAGTCAGGACATTAGACAACGTGTAGCATTGGGAAAGTCAACTGCGAAGGAACTGTTTCAAGTGCTGAGGAGCAAGGATATCTCATTGAGGACTAAGGTGCGCCTGACACAA